ATGTAAAGGTGGAGTCAGGACATAAAAATGCTAATAACTTGTCAACATAGGAGCTTCAGATTTCTTCTGTTTAGCTCTGAGGGGCTATCCATCAGGTCTACAAATGAACCCCACCCCCCACCCCTAAAAGAAGGACCCCACCCAAAGCAATAACATTTTGGGATGCACCTAGCAGCATGAAATTTGGTAGGAATAGAGACCACTGAGTTCAGCTGCACTGGTGCATTTGTGCGTGCAAGGGTCATTATGTTACCGCTGTGTGGTATCTAGTTAAATTTCATTTTTATTGAGATTTTTTTGGACAACCAAAATGTTTTGCAGACAACCAGATTTTGCATGAGAGGCCACCACCACGGTTAAAAAAACTAGGGGAAACCCTGAAATCAGACCATAAAGGAGGACGGGGAAAGGTGGAGAACTTCTTTCTAGCCACAGAGCGGGTTGAGAGATAGTTATTTAATTTTATTGCTTTTTTATGTGTATGTAAAATAGAGTAAATGGACTTTTTCTGATCTGAATATGAAGATGAAATGAAGCTCCAGGGTTTGTATGTACTGTAGCACAGTTATCCACCTCTGATGTTTGAGAGTCTCTGATGGTGCCCCTTTCTGTTCCCACCCAGGCATCTCCCTACCCTCTAATCCTGTCTTTGGAGAACCACTGCTCTGTTGAGCAACAGACAGTGATGGCTCGACACCTGCGATCCATCCTGGGGGACAAGCTACTCATCAAGCCCCTCAAAGGTCTGGATTCCCGCTACCTGCCTTCTCCAGAGGTAAACAATGAAGAGAAAAGACTGAAGCAAGGTTCAATATTATAGAACTGTCCTATCTGTTGGTTTATGAAACAAGACAAATATCAGACCTGCTGGCTGAACAAAACCTGGTTTATTTACATTGTTTACGCTGTTGCTAGAACAGATTTTAAATGATTTGAATAAACAGTTGAGTGTATAAAAATTAGTAAAATCTAGTGTTTACATTTGAGCTAACAGCTACTTCAGATATGGTAAATGGACTGTACTTGTATAGTGTCTTTCTATACATCCAGGACAGTCAAAGCTCTTCACACTACAACTGTGTCCTCATTTATCCATTCACACAGCACTCTGTTAGGTCTCTACAAAGCTAACATGTACAGTCGTCTTTGGAGACTAATCAGTGCCAATCACATTCATACACTGATGGGACACACATCAGTATGGGGTGCGGTTTGTAAAATTACACAGTCAAAAATTACCACCAATATTTTCGTTTTATTTAACCTTTTATAAGAAAAGGCCATGGAGAAAGACTTCCGCACGGCTTCGAGGCGATTCTGGTCCACCATCCGGCGTCTCGGGAGGGGGAAGCAGTGCAGCACTAATATTGTTTATGGTGGGGATGGTGTGCTGCTGACCTCAACTCGTGATGTTGTGTGCCGGTGGGCGGAATACTTTGAAGACCTCCTCAATCCCACCAACATGACTTCTGTTGAGGAAGCTGAGCCTGGGGACTTTGGGTTGGGCTCTCCAATCTCTGGGGACGAGGTCACTGAGGTGGTCAAAAACCTCCTCGGTGGCAGGGCCCCGGGGATGGATGAGATCCGAACGGAGTTCCTCAAGGCTCTGGATGTTGTAGGGTTGTGTTGGCTTGCGCGACTCTGCAATATTGCATGGACATCGGGGGCAGTACCCTTGGATTGGCAGACTGGGTTGGTGGTCCCCCTGTTTAAAAAAGGGGGACTGGAGGGTGTGCTCCAATTACAGGGGGGTCACACTCTTAAGCCTCCCTGGTAAGGTATATTC